TTTACTACAAGCAGAGACTATTTGTACCAAAAGACCATGACCTGTAAAGAACAATAGCTAAAGGGTATCATGATGCTAAGATAGCAAGACACTTCGGACAAGAAAAAACCCTTAAGATAATTATAAGAGACCTCTACTGGAAAGGCTTGGCAGATTAGGTAAACAATTACATATGGTCATGTGATGATTGTCAACACAACAAATGCTCACAACAGGTGAATTATGATCTACTACAATGTCTGTCAATACCCTATACAGTATAAACATCAATTTCCATTAACTTTATTATGCAGTTACCACAATGTCAGGATTGTACCTAAGTTATTGTAGTAGTTGACCAGTTTACAAAAATGACCCACTTCATTGGATTAAAAGGGGCAGCAACTACAAAGGACAGGGCTACAGTCTTTTTAAGAAAATATAGAAGCTAAATGGCTTACAAACAGAAATTGTCTCCAATATGAATTTGAAGTTTGCTGGAGAATTTTAGGAATTGCTGTGTAAAACATTAAACTTAAAAAAGAAGATATCTACTGTATACTATCTATAGACAAACAGACAAACTGAGTAAACAAACCAAGTGCTGGAAGGATACTTATGAAGTTTTATCAATTATGATCAGGCTGAACGGTACCAATTGCTACCCCTAGCTGAACATGATTACAATATCTCTGCAACCAATACACATGGAATGACTCCTTTCTATGCAAACAATGGATTTCATCCACAGACTGAATAGATGAAGGAGTACAAGAGATAAAATCCAGGAGCCACACTTTAGACAAACTCGATGAAAGTGATTCACAAGCAAGGAAGGCAATCACTCTAACAGATACAAGAAGCTAAAGTCAAATACTATAATAGTAAGGCCAAGCAACAACCGGAGTTCAAAATTGGCAATGAAGTAATGTTAAAGGTAAAGAACATTCATACACTGTGAAAGTCAAACAAACTTAGTCTAAAATTATATACACCATTCGTGATCGTGGAGAAACGAGGAAATCATGTCTATAAGCTTAATATTTTAGATTGATGGAATGTACATCCAGTGTTCCATATATCTCTATAGAACTTTACAGGGAATCGATATGCATGGACTTACAACAACCTCCTAGGAAGCCTGAAGATATTGAGTGCCACTTACAATGAAAAATAGAGAAAGTCATAAGAAGCAAGATATGCTTTTACCGAAAGACAGTATAAGGTTACTACTGTGAGGTATGTGACCTATGGTACTTTATTAAATGGCATGGCTGCTCTGAAGACGAGAATACCTGGGAACCTGTCACAGGTATGAACAATGCAAGAGAAATGGTAGGAGAATTCCACCGTGATAATCTGCCAATGCCACAGTAGGCAGTGGAAAAATGAAGAGGAAAGGTTTTTCCTACAGTAGCCGAGCAAACGCAGAAGGTTTTTGAACCTGTTCTCATCGGGTCCTAAAGGAATTCAGGTTTAAGGTTTAATAATTAATTGATTTAATTTTATTTTTTTATTTTTAATGTATCCAAAAAGGCACTTGAGGAGAACCCTTAAGAAGAGGGAGTACATGTTAGGAATACTAGGATCCAATACCTAGGAACCTCACTAAGTAAGGTAACCTCTCTCGAAATCAGAATCCACGGTTTCCAACACCCTGCTCCGGCCCCTCTTATAGGGCTGCAATTCCCTGTACATATCAAGCTTAGTTGCATCTTGTGACTATAATGTTACACGATTGAAGATGTGTGAATAACATCTTATACGTTACAGTCATCTGTCTGACCGGATCCTGTTTACTAGATATATGAGAGAAAATGTTCAGCCAGGTCAGGGAAGTAAGATGGAGTAAGTCTGCCAACTACCCAAAATGCTACTAGGCTTCAAAGATATGACATCTTTGGCATGGGCCATAGGTAACAGGAGGTTTTTGCATGAAGAGATAGTATTGAATAATAAAGAATCTGAATATGTAACCAATATATCCACACCCACTCTGCAATATCCAGAAGAGTCTAAAACTCTGAGAGATACTACTATGGAAGTTAATGGACTTCATAGAATATTACAACCAGGTTTCAAAATATGTTGTAGCTGCAGAGATAACTCCCAATACTAGAATGGCAATTGAAATCCCGTTATTCAGAGCAACCAAGGATTGCCAACTGAGGCATTGTCTCTCAATCCGGTAGAATAGCTTCCTGCAAATGAGTAGGGAGTTCTCTAGAAGATATCTATTAGTTGGATAAAGAGTTATGAAGGTTTAAAGTCAGGCAACCTAGAAAGATTACAATTTCGACTACCTTGGCAGATACAACCTGCAGATGAAATAGATCAATTTATTAATGATGGAGACAATTGGGGCCAACTCTGTTCGACTTGAGACCTAGTCTATAAGTCTAAAGACTCTGACAATTGAATAATTACTATTGGGAACAGGATGATTCCCAGTTAGCTATATTGCAATTATCGAAGATAGTGTAGTGATTTTCAGAATCTCTGGTTGTTCATACCTTGAAGAATACCCAATGTTACAAGTTATAATCAGAGAGGTACATAGTAGTATAATAAATAGATGGAGTCCATGAACACTCAGACGTGAAATATAAATATTAAAGTGCCTTCCAAGCTTTTAAACATCATCTAGCAATCGAGAAGAGAACTTAACATTACAATATTATCTTCACAATTCTATTCTGCTTTACCTATTTACTTTGCTCTTAGTAGTCATAAATGAAATGAGTAAAGTTCAAGCCTTCTTAGACAATCTCTGTCTACAGAAACAAATCTTGATTGGCCTAGACAACTCTGAAGTCTATCAAGTTGTCTCAGCCTAACAGGACGGAGAGATGTTAGAACAGACCATATTTTTCCTTTGTTCAGTATGTAGGATAGAATGTGTTCGCAGCAGATAGGGGTGAGGATATGAGATAGTAGTTGGGTAGCAGGGTGGGAAGACATATAAATCGGAGTAGCACGAGTCATTGTGAGCGCTCGTGAGCCCACATAAGTAGTGATTTCTTGAATTTAAGTTTAAGAGGAGTGGTTCCGAGGTGGAGTGGTCCACGGTAGTATATTTTAGATAGTTTACTTTATAGGATGTGGGGGAGACTGTTTGTATTCCATTGTTGGCAGAACTAGTATAAATAAAATTAGATTGAATTCTAAGCACTTTTCCTACTTATAACTTTAACCAATACAAAATACCTTTACACTCTTTATCATTATCACAACCCTTATTACTATTATAACGAGAATACTCTACACGAGGTAGAGTTAGAGAAAGCTTATGATAGGCGTTACTAATAGAAGACATAGGTCTTGTACTATTAGTTACTTAGATATAGGCCCAAGAGCTATCATACAGCAAAGAAGCAAAGTATTATTTCCTGTCTCCAAGAACTAACTCTCTAAAGGGGGATCATTACAAAATACTACTTTATATCCATGTCTCATATATCTCTCTTACAGGAAAGATATAACAGGTATAAATGAATAATAATTGCTGTTAGAGTACTTAAGAAAATAGGAGTATTTCCTTAAGCAACAGGAGACAACTATGAGACAATCACTATATCAAAGAAGACTGAAGTAATTGCACATAGTACTTCCATGACAAGACTCGTTAACTCTGGTATGAATATATCTTATTTTGACTTGCTTTACTTATAACACCTATTTATTACACTTTCCTGAGCAATAACTATATACAAACCTGAAGCCCAAGGTTTAATACTCAAGAGAGTTATATAGAATTTGGTAAAAAACAAATTGTAAGTGGCTTAACCTTTATGGTAATTAGTTACATATGTAGAATTACAAATTTGACATGTGTTTCTAGTGTACCTTTCCTTGTTTAGATTGAATTACAACTAGATATAATATGTTGGAATCTTTTGAAGAGGATTCGGGCCTTAATTGTCTATCATTGTTAATCTAACCAGATTTTATTCTTCATTCCTCTTTGATTCCAAACAAAATTTCTCCTTTTTGTTTATTAATTTAAATTCTACAAAACATGTAAAATAAAAAATAAAATAAGTGACATCTTTCACCATTTCCCTTACCCTTTTTGTGCTACAGAAGGCTTTCCTTCCTTTGTTTTACTTTACTTTGTCATATCATTATAGTGTGAAGTCTAACTAATTGGTGTTGTCTTACTGATCCTGCTTGAAACTTTTTTTTTTTTTGCTGGGTTAAAAAAACGTTGCTGGTATTCTGTTGGAAGGGCACGGGATCGGCTGGTACTCGAGTATAGAATACCGGTAGGTTTTCTCGTCGGAAACGTTACAGGGTAGCTTAACAAGGGTTCGATACCTACCTACCCCAAGACCCAGCATCTGAGCCGGTGGCAGATTCGACGAGAAATCACACGGATAAATGCTCGACCCCGAAATCAAAACCCACAATCCGCCACCGAAATCCCTGAGGTGCCAATATCTAAATCGTCCGTTCCGACGAGGGTAATATCATGATTAACTTAATCATAACCAATCCTCGATAACCTCCGTGATACATCTCTCTTCGAGTGGCGGAGAGCGCTAATTGCATCGATAATGATCTCCATAAGTCATTGTGACTGTTTTTTTTTAGCATCAAGAGCGCCATGCGCCACATACCCCGAATTTCCATTTTGGCGGGGGTGGGGTTCAATGCCTTATCGTTTCATGAGGCGCCGATTATACGGCAGGGTATGTACTGTGTAAGCGTCGGCGTCATGGGTATAGCGGTGACATTTTGCAGAATAGAGCGCAGTTAACCAGACAAAGAAATTGCCATGTTGTATTCTCTTTCTGCTGTCTGTCACTTGGAGGTAGGTAGGTGAAACTTAAGTTTATTATAAATTGGGTACATGAACTATCTCGGAAGCATCAGAATCCAACCTCTGTTGATCCCTCATTCTAGCTCTGGAATGGAAATACCATATTTATCACATCACACAACATCCCAACGCTCCCCCTCACCCCCAGCTAGTCCTCTCCCTCTTGATAACGACCACATAGCACAGTCCGGCGGCAAACATGGCGAGCCCTTCGAATCAGGAGCCACAGACCATTGGGACCCCCGTCGCAGTTTATGCCGATTTCTGCTTGATTCCAGTAGGCTCTCTTCTATCAATTTTGGGGGGAACACGTGCGGTTGCTGATGAGGATGCCAAAGATTGGGACTGCGGATACTTCGGTTTCAAAACATGTTGCGGACGTTCAGCGGCTTTTGAAGAAGAGTGGACTAAATTACCATATGCACAGTGCGGGGACGACCGTCGGTTAGTTATTAGAAGAGGGCTTCCTTTCCCGGGTCCTTGACAATCAACTTTGGAGTTTCCGGTGGTTCCCCAGCTGATTCTGATCCTGCATCGCAGAGGGCTCCTGGGAGGATGTTACTCGGGTGATTGGCCAGGCTCATTCTATGCTCCATGCACAGGGTATCTCGAGGGTGCACACCGATATCCGTATAGGAAGCAGGTTAACTTGGTTCTCCTCCTTACCCCGAACATGTGTTGCTGATGGTTTGACACAGGACCGATAAACAACAAACTATGCAAGATAAGGTGGCTTCGGTGGAGAAGCTCGCACGAGATCAGGAGAAATAAACGGCTATTGGACCTCATTATTTATTCTCCCGGCCAACAGCAATTTCCCACAAATGTGTACTCGGGTAGTGGAATAGATTTCATAAACTGTTTGGAGGATATCGAGAAGGGGAATGAAAAAAACGATCGTCGTGAGGCCAATCCAAACCTAACCCTACGCTTGTCTATTCGAAACCCAGCCAGAGGGAATAAATATCGAACGAGAGGATCAATTACCGTGGCACCCTTTTAATTGCATCGCCGCTGGTTGATATTGTTCCAGGGGTTCGCTCTGAGCTCCCGTTACCACTGCTTTGTGGACTGTGCGTTCCGGAGAAGTTGACAGTCCGCGAGACAGTTCTGTTGGCTGGAGCACAGCTGTGTCGTAACGAGAACTTGTGTCGAAACTCCCCCGCATGTCCGTATGAATGCGATATGAAGCTTCCAATGACATTTAATTTTTCCAGGATGTGAAGAATTAAGAACTCCGACGTGTCCAATTATCTATCGCTGCGTAGATTTTCTTGTGGAAGTGAAGACTCACGAGATCCCCTATAAATTCGGTGGTTGGAGAACCTTGAAAAGGCAACTCTTTTCTTACCTTTCTCCCTGAACATCTAAACTCCCGGCCGTCCTCATTCATCTCCATCACCATCCGCGTCGTTCTCGGATAAACAGTTATAGAGACTACTATAGTAATGTGAGAGCCCATGTTTCCCGCTACGGGGTGCTATATCTAACTAGAGGACTCTAGTGCATTTTTGAAAGCCACGCCATCTGGATAGCTTCTCATCGACTTCATTTTTCTTTCATACGGTGAGTTTCATAATTTCAGCCCGGTTCCGGGAGACGACAATACGGTGATTGATAGGAGGCGACCGCTCAACAGCATCCGCAGGCGGTACAGATACCGCGGGCGGAGAAAACAAATCAAAGATTATATAACTCTTTCACGCACTTATAATCCCCGTCTTTTGAGTGGCCATGACAGCGGGACTTAGATCAAGAGGTGGGGAGACTCAAACTCCACAGCTTTCTGAATGCGGTCACGATAAGTCTTGCCTTGATTTTGGTACAGATCGCGACATCAAGTGTCGGAAATGCTGGGATAATCGCGAGATTCTCATCCAAAGACTTATTGAACCGTTTGAGCACGCCCTTGGTTCATTTGGTGTTGACGCGGTGGTCACTGGTGATGCCGTCGTCCCCCCACCAACAGCCTCAACAACCCCTGCAGAAAGAACCACTGGGAGAACGAGAAGCCTGCGACGGAGGGCGGGGTCGAAAAGGACAAGAAGCGAGTCTAGAGGGTCAACCCCGACACCCAAGGCACAAGAGACGAAGGAGAAAACCGCAGACTGGGGATATTCGCTGAGGTCAGCAAATCGGATAGTGACTGACCCTGAGGAAGAGGACTGCATTCGAGTACAGGATCTCAGTTTGATGAGATCTAGGTCTCAGGATAGTAGCGGGCCGGTGGGAAAGAGCATAAAGCCCACCTCACACGTGGCAGGGCTCAATGAAGGCGGCATTAAATGGTGGGAGACAAGAGGAGCAGGGACCCACGGGAAATCGGGAAAGCCTATTGGTAAAGGAAACGAGAGATCGTCTTCCGTAGCCTCAACTTCGGCCTCAAGGACGAAGGCCGCAGCCCAGCCGGTTAAAAAGTCGCAGCAGCAAACCTTGCTCTCGTTTTTTACTCCCAAGCCTACCGGGGACATTTGTGCTCCTACTCCACCGAGCCGTACTGGGGGCCCCGACGTCCCCCCTACGACCATTTTACCAACAAGCAGTAGCCAGAAAAAGCCAGCAGTTGTCGAAGCAGTAAAGCTAGATCTGGCACCAAAAGCCAAGGAGAAGCGACTACCAGAGAAAGTACGGAAACAACCGAGACCAGGCACCCGAAGAAGCATGCGAGACGTGAAAAAAGATAACATCAATTACAAGGAAGACTCAGACTCCGATGTGGATCTCGAAGACTAAAGATCATGGTGCGATAGGGGTATTGTCCTTGGCAGTGTTGGGTACGTTTGCGAGCGGAATCAAACCCAGATTTCTGTCATTCTAAATTCATTAACTAGGTGAATTTTCAAGGGCCCTCTTGTTTGCCGTTCCGGAGGTTACGGGTTTTTGAGTCCCCGAGGGCAGAAACTTTTCAAAGTCAGAAGTTAAGAATGCGGGGAGGTAGTGGGATATCGGGCTATCCCATTTTGCAATCGTTTTTAAGATTGGTGTGGAAGCCGACTGATCGCATGCGCCCTAGGAGAGGAAATTTCTTCAAGTATGAGTAGGATGTCTACAGCGCTAGCGTTGTGTTGTATACCAAAAGCTCAGGGTCAATACGCAATTGCTGGGGTAAGTCTGTGGATTTGAATTGGGTTTTTTTTCTTCTTTGGGGGGGGTCTGGGAGCTTGTTGGCTTCCTTAATATAAATTTCAGGCCCAATATCCGCAATCCGAAATAATGAAGCAAACATCTTGAATAAAATTGTGAAATTATGACAGGAAACTGGAGGATCCTTTGACCTAAAACCGATTGCGGCTAGGAATAAAATCCCATTTTGGCGAGAGAACTCCCATCAATCTCTACTGACAGTTGCAGGCTACCTTCAACAGTCGAGACACCTTACCGGTACTGTATCTATACTGTTCTTGTCAATGAGGCACCCTGCCACCAGCCAAATAGACGTGGGGCAAAGACAGGGTCCTGGTTTCACGCATTAGCATATCTAAAAGTAAGATTTGCTCTTTTGGGAAGGCCTATGCGCCTTGGTAGATTCCAGATCTTCTCAATTGTGGATTGTCGTCCGGGCCATGATCCGTTCCGAGCACTATCTATAGGGGGAAGCACTAGGGATCCCTATCACTAATAGTTGATTATTTGAGAATGGATCTACGAGGAGAGGAGACTAAAGAAGAGACAAGGTGACCTTGTGCCTGGTCTTCCTGTTGGCCGAGGAGAATGAAACGAGTAAACATGGGAGATTAAGGCAGCCCCGGGGGGTTTCCTTCAGAGACTCAAATTCTTAGTGAGGTATCCCTGATACCGCACAGGCCAAAGTCAAGTATTATAAATGTAGAAATATTTCGGTGCGTACCCCGAACTATCTACGGACCGTTAACCCCATCACCCCTTTCCCGGTAACCTCACCTACAGAGTACTGTCGAAAACTAACCCGATCAATATTCTAGCGATTGCGGGGATGAAGCGGAGTTATCTAGCCATTCATGTGCTAACCCTCCGCCCCCGCCCCGCTCGGGCCTTGAAATTACTTCTCGGTTCTCTACCTCGTAGTTTATCGAAGGACAAGCCGAATGAGAATGAAAGCTTAAACCGACCTATAACGAAGCCTAACGTCTCCTCGGGAGAACTCTGTCGCTTTACCATCATGATTTCTAGGAAATCATGATAATTGTTCATTTATATGTTCTTGACAGGTCTCACTCTCTCACTCTCTTTCCAAAATTGATTGCATCAAACTCCCAAACGTTCCATTATTTCTATAGCGTGAATCTTACAATATGTCTACGGTAGGATGCGCTGCTAGCAATGCTCTCCGAACTACTGCGCGAAAGGATCCGGAACTTTATGTTAGTTTTCTTACCTTAAAGAGAGTTAGTCCTAACATGTATTTGGAGGTTCTAATGGGCTTTATGCATGCAGAATACGCCCTTGTCGGATCCTACTTTTGCATGTCTTTGCACGAGGAGCTGTGGTAGATAGAAATATAACTCTCAATAGCCCGCAAACCGACTATGGCCGCAGCAGAGTAAGGTAGAGTCAACTTCGTCAGGGGGCCTGGTCCGGGGAGCGAAGATCGCTGTGGCTCAGTTGGGATGAAAATAATCATAAGCCCTTCTCATGGCCATACAAGGGAGTTTTCTAACAAGTTGGATACAAGTGTTATCCAAATGCTGACTATAGGAAGGCTCCCAAAAGTGCCACGGACGCACGTGTTTTTGTCAATCCCCAATGTTGATCTTCCAATGGTTCGTGCCCCCCTCCATTCAGGGCTCCCTTCATCGACTATAAAAACCTAAACGAAATAGCGCCTTTACGAAAAATACAACAAATATGGCGAAGATAATTATTAAGATACTGAACAAGAAAACTTCGGAGGTCTTGGCAGATCCCAAAGGGGTCTCTAGAGAAGGGCTCGGAAATACCGAAGGCAATATTCTGGAGTTGTGGGCTCTAATACTGCCCCTTCTGTTTAGCTGTTTACTTATGAACTTCGCCAAATTCCCCCCCGGCTGTTCGCCTCAATACCTGATATTACTCAGTAGCCCTCCATCCGCTTAGGTCACTATTTTTTATTGTATGAGATCGCTTTCTCTACTTGGCTCGGGACATATAGAGGTTTCCAACCCTATGTTTGTAAGGTTGCTCGTCTCATAATTTGAGAAAGGCGTGGAACCGCCAGTACTTGGTCAATGCCTTCTACCCGCAAGGGGAAAGGCCGCTCTCCACTTTTAGGGTGACCTAATTCACTTTGATACAACGGGGAATAGTGAAGTGAAGAATACACGATTCTAACATCCGATTCCTAAATGTCGGCGCGATCATGTCTGAATTTTTGCGATCACAGGTACACCTATTATACCTGACGAGGCAGCAAGGAGTATGGCCTATCGGAACCCAGAGCCGCTGGGGTCATAAAATATCACTCCGATAGTGTGGTGTTCCAGCTTCTAGGGGTACAGGCATGTAGCGGGGGGATTATGTCGACCATTATAATATTTACAAAGATTAAAGTTGTTGCGGGAAATATATACTGGATAGAACCTTTCAATCCCTCGTGAGGATTCCCCTTACGGGAGGCATTCGGTTTGATTTTTGAACTATTATTACCTTGCAGGGGTAGCTCCAAAATAAATGGCAAAATCGAGCGCCAGGGGGTTCAGCCTCCACCCGGAGCTGGGGTAATGTCAGTAGTTGCATTCGTGCTTCAAGGGGGAAAGGACACCTCGTCTCCAATTCCCTGGGGCACATCTTGTTAGAGCCCGGTCGTTTCGTAGATTATTCACGTAGTTGGGGTGGATCTTTCGACGACCGGTCCCCCAGTCAGGAGTTCTAATAGCGATCCCTATGAGGTTACACGCCATCATTTTATCCTCCCCCACACAATTCCCGCCCCTATTAACTCTTTAACAGGGTAGACTTAGTGGTTACTGCACTCAAGGCACGACGTGGAATCCATAATCTTCGCTTTTTACGAGTTGCGGTATATCTCTATGATACAATATATGACTGTTTATATTTAGGTTGCCTTTAGAAAGTAGTTTCTTGGGAGTGGTCGCACCACACCGGCTGCTAAGCCATGTGTTAGATTACTGTTTCGATGCATAGTCATTATAGGGCTCGTGGAACGGTTGCCGTGCTGTGGTATTTGAATAGGATCATCCCTCGTCTTATGGACTATCAGGGGTGGATATAGGCTACTGGTCCCTGGTACGAAGTGCCCGAAAACAGGGATTAACGAAATACGGTAAAACATCTGAGCCTGTCTGAGCGCCCATACAAAGTATAACCCCCCTGTTTTTAAGTACCTCTTGAGGGGGACGAGTGTAGCTCCTACACGACCACCATGAATAGATGCCGCTAATACTGCAAGCCCATGGGAAATGAGGGGTAACACTATCGGGGAGAGGTTGATGAGTCCAAAGGAGGCCAATTCAGCTAAACTAGATAAGCGCACCAAGCAGGAACAAACGACAGTAGGGTTATGCATAAAGTTGGAGAGAAGATGTTGGGAGCATAGGCTAAACTGATTAATCTCTTAGGATCCCCTAATATGCTATCGACTCTTTCTTGGCTAGGGTACCAACGCCTAAGTGGCTTAGTATGATGGGTTGACTTCTCCAAGGAATCCATATTAGCACTCCCCCCATTTTCTCATCGCAAGTTAATATCTTCTCAATTCGATGGCATTGGGGTCACTCTTTGCTCTTTCTCCAGGGGCTAGTATTTGATATCCGAGTAATAGTAAAGGAACGGTATTGTACAGTAGGTATAGATGGGATTCGAGGCTCCAGTTCCCCGCAGTACTGTGCGTGCCAGGTGACAGGGAAGGTGACTCGCGATAAGGGTGAGTTTGGGATATCCACACTATATGCTACGACACTTACGAACTTCAGACTAGTGAATAGTTACGGAGGGGTATGGCTATGGCACAAAATCTCTGAATCGTAAACTAACCAGAAGCGGAGAAAGACCGGACTCGCAGCTCTCTCACACAAACGGTTCCTCGGGAGCAAAGCCCCAACCATGAATGTAGCCAGGGCCCAGGCTGAGTTAAGACAATGTTCATGTATTGATACCACGTGGTAATGTTTTGAGCCTCCAGAATGTCCAGGGGGGAAGGAATAGCTCCCGCCAAAACCAATATATCTGCTTACTATGGTCGGGCCGATGTTACGCATAATGAACATATCGCTTGACCTAAAGCAATCTAAACGCCCAGGATACCTATGATCATAGGGACCCCTTTAGAGCCTCACCTTTGGTTTGCATTGACGAGGAAATGCCAGCGAATTCCCTCTACCTGTTTTTAACCTTTTAAATTTCTGGCAACTTAAACCGATGTTAATTATCATTGCGACGAACTTCGCATTGACAAATCAACGAAACCAACCTAAATAGACTCATTACTTCCAAAAAGCGAGTTCCCGCTCCGAGGATGCGCAACTGAGCCAAGTGGCCAA